TCGTCGTGGTGGTAGTAGTAGTAGAGGTAGTAGTAGGAGCAGTTAGTAGCAGTCCCAGAACCAGGAGTAGCAGGGGTGGTAGTGGTAGAATTAGTTGAAGTAGTAGTAGTACTACCACCACCACCACCACCACCACGACGACGACGACGACTACTACTACTACTACCTACTACTGCTACTACTTGTCTTGCTGTTGCTGATGATGATAATGGCCATGTGGGGGGTGCAGCAAAGCCGACGAGATACGTGCGACCGCGAAAATTCAGCAGCTGGTGGTCGGGAGGCCGTGGTGGAGGTGGTGATGGAGTGTCACAGCGACAGAAGGAGGCTTTCAACCACCAGGCTGAATGAGGCGGCGACGCCCAGGCCATCCACAGCAGGTTGATGAAGAGCAGCTGATGATTGCCTAACCTGGAAAGCACTTTTGCTGGGAGGCGTCTTGTTATCCGTGTCGAGACACTCAAGTTTTGAGCTGACAGGTGACCCAGAGCCTGAATGCCGAAGCTCGGAATCCAAACCAGACCGACAACCCGCATCCTACACGCGGAGAGGCGTAAACTTCACACACCCGCCCAAGACCTGGTCTTCAGCAGTAGCCCTCAAGCCCCTGATAATCTTGCTTTTTGGAATATGGGCTTCAGGTCTGACCGGGTTGAACGTCTTGGTGAGCTTCGGTTTCCAGGAAAAGAAGGCCGGAAACATCCTGAAGCTGTTGAGCTCTTCATATAAGTACGTATATTTACATGAAAAATACATTGTTGGTTACATACGTTATAGTGTCATAAATTTCATATATATATATATATATGTGTGTGTGTGTATATGTATGTATATATATATATATGTATACATATGTATATTTCTAGAAAGTATTGTATCATACCATATTATGGTACATTGTAGTCTGTCTTCGTGGTGTGTGTAATTGTTCTCACAACTTTTTCCCTCTCGCATGGCTGAGGAACTATGCCCACTAGCGAGGTTGGATTCTCACAACTCAGCTGAGGGCTTTCATCGCCATGGACGACGGTGTAGCATGTGAAACTTGGGATGCATCGAACTAATTAGTCATGCGAGCGCCGGAAAGTCCACTGCCTGTCTGTTTCCCTGGATACTCTAGGCTCTCACAACTCGGACATGCCAGGCGAGGTTCGTAGGGGAGGGTTTGGGGTTTCCTGGTTCAAGTCTGAAGTTTCTGTATCATGTGGTGGGCTGTCGCTGAAGTACATACTTGTAGCAATTGTTCCTAGCTAACCTGTTTCATGGCCAGGGTCTCCCAACGACGAGACGGGTAACCAATATTGGACTCCATTTGAGGGTCAAGCTAAGGGTGAAGAGAGGCAAAGTCGTCAGGCGCGCATGTGCAGTCACTGAGGAAAGTGAATTAGCGGACGAGCCGGCAATAGTTGAATGCAGTATCCACCAGCAGTACTCGGCCCCCGCAAAACATCATGCCGGGGCTGATAGCTGGACAGTGCTGTTTGCTGGAACCCTCGTTCGTCTGTCTGACATGTGGGTAACCTATATACACAACAAACATGTACGAGTCTACAGCCTGCACACACAAGCAGAGCCAGGTGTGTACACGCACAGGTATCTGTCTGTGTTGCTGTCTCTGCCTGTGTGTATGTCTGCGCCCCAATGGTTGTCTGTTGGTGATCACGTACGTTCATCTCTCGCTCAGCTAATCTAGTAAATCTGAGGCCGAGGGTGAGGAAACAGTAAATGCGCATCCATGCATGCTTACATGCGTACATACATGCATGCATACAAAAAAACATATACCTACACACATACAAACATGTAGATAATGGTGAAAGCAAACATACCAGAAACATACATACATTTGTGGCACTCGTGCTCGACAAGCGCAGGCAAGGTTGTTTGCAGAACAACATACATACATACATACATACATACATACATACATCCATGCAAGCAAGCCAGCCAGCCAGCAAGCAAGCCGGTAAGCATGCACGCATACAAACCTCTCTGAAACACACACAAACAAACAACCGAACAAACACGCACGCGCACACAAACACATATGCATACCATACCATACCATGCCATCTCAAACCATAACCACACCATACCATGCATACATACATGCAGTGCGTTAATACATACAGTTTACATACACACATATCTTACATGCAGGCAGGCCGACAGACAACCCCACAATCATACGTACATTGCGTGCATGCACGTATATGCATGCATACATACATGCATGCACGCATCGTGCTTGCGCTCTTTCTTGCTTGGGTGGTTGCTTACGTAGTTACATACGTATGTAGATGTGTGCACCTCTTCAGGGGTACACACGCATGGCAAATGCAAGGCTGGAAGTAACTGACTATCATTAACTGGCCGCCGAATACTGCCAGTGTAGTTGCGAATTTGGTCAAGCTGATTCTCAGCAAGTTCCAAAAATCGAATGGCATCGCCACGGCTGCCATTCAAATGCCGGGTCTTCGTTCCATCCGGGTCAGGGTTCCAGTTGTTTCGGGTCAGAACTCAGAACTCCGAACCCAAAATCCCAAAGCCCCTTGAAGAGCCACCGCACCGGAAAAAGGCCAAACAGGCCTCCAGGTACTTGGACTGACGGATCTCAGAGGACCCGGCTTTGACAAAGTGTGCTCACATCAGGAACGGAGTGCGCTTGGATGAAGTGCGCCTGGATGAAGGCAGGGGAAAAGCTGACGGTTCTGGGGGGGGTTTGGTGTGGGTGCTGCCTAAACCCACAACCTCCTGAGCCTTACGTCTTGGACAAGGCAGCACACCCTCCGATTCCTTACACATTCCCTCCGACACCGCAAACATTTGTGAGTGCTCTAACTGGGCCCATTGCTTCAGGAGATGCCTCACATCACCTTGAACACTTGAAATCGCCAGGCCTCTCTGGAAAGGAAACGTTTGCGAGGATCAGGTACAGAAAAAGGCCAACCACCTGGGCTGTTGCTCAGGAACGTAATTTAAGTTATCATCTAATTTGCTACACGTGACAAATCTCCCTACACCTTAAACCCCAAGAAAGATGGAACCAAAGATTCAGAATCCTCCTAAATCCTACACCCTAAACCCCAAGAAAGATGGAAAGATCAAGCTCCTAAATCAAAGCAGAGCATAACTCCCCTGAACTCCAAACCCGACCAAGCCCTAAACCTTAATACTATTAAGCAAAAATAATAATATGATTAGATAGTACTCTTAAATAATACTAGCAGTCTTATTAATATTATTATTATGGCTATGTTAATACTATTACTTAATTCCGTGCTCCAAAATCAAAGGCCAACGACGGGCACTGACATGGCATTGCCTGCCAGCAACGCGAGATGCCGATCTTCCAAGCCTCGGTTGTTTTAGGGCTTAGGGTTAATGGGTTGGTAAGTTTTGCCTAGGCCTTAGGATTTGGATTGTTAGGGTTTAGGAGGGCTTGGGATTAAGAGTTAGAGTCAAAAGGGTCAAGAGTGTTGGGGTGTGTAGTGGTTTGGGGGTTAAGAGCCTATTGGCTTGCATTTTCCCCCGGTTTCGGATTAGAGGCTTCGGGATGGATAGTTTTGGGGCTTGGGACAAAGATTAAGAGTTTGGGGTTTTGGGCTGAGAGTTCAGGGCTTCAAGAGCTCGAGCATTAAGGCTTCAGGGTTTCCCGAACGTGTAAATCTAGGGTTGAAACCATGGGCCCCTAGTATGGGCCCCTAACCCTGGGATCCTTATACATAAGATATAGCCCTATATGTACCTTTAAAGGGCCCTAGAAAGGCCTAAGGGTCCATATTAGGGGCCCATACCTCGAACCTTAGAGTAAAAGCTGCCAAAACATGAAACCAGAAGCCATCCAGATTGAGCTCATCCGCAGGGAAGCCTTGCAAGGCCATCATCTCCTTAGATCGTCGTCTGCACATCTACAGCACCCCATTCGGGCTTTAGGGCTTTGAGGGTATATCTCAGAGTCGAAGTGTCACAGGGGCTATTTTGCGCTGGTCTTGCTCGGCTTTGAGGGAGCGAAAGTTCGGGTTGAGGGTTTAGGACAGGAGTTTGGGGTTAGGGTTTAGGGATAAGGTTGCGGGTTTGTGCGGTACTCTTTTCAAGGGCCAGGGCCTAAGTGGGCTAGTCTAGGCTAGGGTTCAGGCAAGTCGCTAGACCCAGCAGCCACCTCTGTCGATTGAAAACCCAGACCCGGCTTCCTGGAGTGAGACAAGGTGTTGATCGCCATCTACTTGAGCCATACAGAGCACTTCTGGAAATCTCTGCGCAGAACTTGGAGTTCATGGGATCTTCTGCGTCCTGCAGCTCTTCTTCTGTTGCCCTTTTCCTGTTCTTCCCATGAAAAATTCGCGCAGCTTGGATCTCTAGGACATCCTGCTGACGAGCACTGAGATATCGCGACCAGCCGCTGCCTTTGGGAACCAATGGCTTCGCCGTGTTGTCAAAGCTCAGCTGCTGGCGAAGCTGAGCGTTTGTTTCGGCCCATCTGCCTGGGGGTAGTTCCGGCGGACCTTTTGCTTCAAGACGTCCCCTTGCCGAAGAGACTTCTTGCTCAGAGTCCGGCAGCATGAAATCTTGCACCTCGGCATGTCCTTGCTCCTCCAGTTTGCGGACCAGCTGGTCCCACCTGGCCAACGGTCGGTGCAATGTGGCCTTTCCTGTATGAATGCCCACAATGTACACCCGCGCCCGATTCTGAGGCAGGTGGTAGTCCAGGGAATTCACTCGCCAATAGCGGACCACGTAGTGGGGCACAGCGCGCAGGATGCCCATGATGTCAGAGATTGGAGCATCGTCTCCGTCCTTCCTAGACGAGGGCGCGCTTAATCCCCGACACGTTTCAAAGACCCAAGTCCCCGACAAGGAACGCACCACACCCCGACCAAAAACAACAACAAAAAAAAACCACGACAATTAATGTCGCCCCCCGCCCCCCGCTACCGCGTTTTTGCTGTGGGATCGTCCAGTTAGTGGGGAACTGTTGTGGCTAAGGCACCTAGACAGTAGGCCGACGACATTCTCCAGGACGTACGTTGCCGGCTCGTGCTGGCGGATGTAGTTGACCACGCCATGGAAGGTCTCGGCATGGGGGCCTTCCAAACAGGGGCGATTGGAGTTGAGCAGCGAGAAGTCTTTGCATGGGAAGCCAGCAACATAGATGTCCAGATCATTGGGCACCACAACCGGTGCATCTGCAATGAGGCAGTGCCCCATCTCTCCCCGATTCCGCAAGTTCTCGAAAAGAGCATGCGGACGCGTGTTCTGGGCAACGAAGACCTGCGACACAGGCTCGATGTCGCAAGCAAACAGGTGCTCCAGCCGCAACTTCCAGCCCAACTGATGCTCCAACCTCGATTGCGGCTTCCGGGTCACCCAGACATCCGAAGCCCAAAGGTCTGGATCTCCAAACCCTAAACCCCTAAACCCGAAGAAGAAAGGAGCAGATGTGGCCTGGCAACTCTTTAAGGATAAGCTGCAGAGCAAACCAAGGTGCCTCGGCACCAGAGCAATCCTGGGTTCTGACTTCTTCTAGCTTAAGGTTTAGGGCTTAGGATTTAGGGTTTCGACTCTCACACTCGCACCAGGCAGGCAAGGCTCCAGGGTTTAGGGTTTAGGGTTTAGGTTCAGCTTCCAACAAGCTTCCAACAACAAAAGGCTGAGGGCGGGGTTAGGTTTCCGGAAGTCTAATCGTCAGCAGCCTGACTATGCAAAACTCTTGGTTCCACACCTCCAGAGTTGTGGGGTACATGCTAGAACCCCATGGCCAAACAAGAAACATGGCTTTCTAAATCAACTACTCCCCTCGAATCCTTACATTTCTCGCCTTGAAGACCCTCAAACCCTTCGAACCCCTAAAACCATCAACGGTGTCAAAGCAGGAGGCCGTGCCCAGACGAAGGGTGCGATGTCTGATGGGCAGCGCTTCAACAGAACGGGCCTTCAACAAACTCCGCAGATGCGCGAACCTTGGCTTCGCAGTGCTCATCTCTCCGTTTTTAAGTGCGCGTTCGGTGGCATTTCGGGTGCAGGGCTTGTTAACGCAATGCCCTTTGACTCCCAGATCGGGCTTTCGGGAGCCAGGGCATAAGTTGTATGAACCCTAAGTGGGGGCTAGAAGCACCTCTAACTATAGTTACCTCGGTGAAAATAAAGCCCTTCTTGCTAAGCTACGTCCCATGACACTTTATCTAGTATAAAGCCGTTTCAAGCCCCTAAAGCCCTCGACCCCAACAAACCCGAACCGTTCGAGCTGCGAAAACTCCAAACTACCAGCCTCCCCGTAGCAAAGCTTTTGTCACGTGCGAGGCACATGGACTCAGCCCAGGGTACTCCTGGAAACCGAGACGGGCCAGCCCTTCGCCCTCCTCGGAAACCTTGGTCGTGGCTTAGGGTTTTTTGTTGGGTTCAGGGTTTAGGCTCTCACAACTCGGACATGCCAGGCGAGGTTCGTAGGTTCGAGTCGGCATAAAGCCAGGGTTTAGGGCTTAGGGGCTTAGGCTTGCGTCTCTCACCTCCATTTTTATCGCCCGCATTCTCTCGCATCTATGGTCTCGCCAGGCGAACCCTGTTCTTTGGTCTGCGGGTATGTCTGACCCCTAAACCTCTAAACCCCTAGACCCCTAAACGGACTTCTGATTTCGGGTCTAGGAGGTCCTGCGTCCCGTTGCATCTCCAGAGTCTCGCGCTTCACGTTGCCAGTTCCACCAAAAAAAGACACAAACGAGTGCGTAGCTCTCTAAGGTAGGGTCCCTTTTTGGGCGGTTGTCTTTCATGGGGTGCCGTAATATATTGGGGACCTTCAAAAAGGGGACCCTAATTTAGAAAACTACCCAACTAGGGCAGATAGGTTCGGGTAGCAAGGATAGCGTCAACCATAACAACTTAAACATGAGCGTGCAGTATATTGAAAGTATAGTGACAGTATAGAGATAAAGATAACAAAGGCGAGGCTCGCAACAGCGAAGGCCAACAGTATGCATAACAAGAAGAACTGCTAAAGTTAGCCAGGCTTCCTGCTGCTTGAACAAGAGACCGGAAGCTCTTTCCACATCTCAGCTGCCATGACTTTTTGCCGGTTCCGGGCCCAGTTCGTCGCTTTTTTCGTTTCGGGCCTGGGTGCCAGGACTCGTCGGAGTCCTGGTCGGACTCACAACCCTCGACCCACTCGGATTCCTCAGAGAGGTCGTCAGGCTCCTCCACTGCACTCAGGTCATCCTGGGCGTCGGCATAGTCTAGGTCTGCATCCTCCAAATCCTGGCCTGCACCTACCTCTGTGACAGGCGTGGCAGTCGATGCTAGGGCTTCCTGGTTCTCTTCCTCGGAAGCAGAGACGACCGTGACGGCCTTGACCGGGACATCCACCACAGGCCGGTCGAGAAGCAGAACCTTCCTGCTAGCCCATTCCCAGCGATAAGTGGATTTCGTGTCGATGTGGAGGTGGGCCTCGCCCTCACTCTTTCTGGGCCGCTTCAAGTTCCGGAACGCTTGCGCAGCTTCCGTGGCCATGGGCAGCTCTGACAAGCGGCACGTGCGGATCGATAAATGAGTCCTGCTAACCATGCTTAACATGAGGGACACATGATTTGAGGGGACCGTCACCAAGCCAGAAGGACAGCCGTTCTTCTTTGTCAGGGTGCTGGGTTAGCGCATCGCATATCGCCAAACCACCTGAATAAGACCTACGAGCTTATTCGAAAGCCGTGGATCTCTACGGGGATGGCCCTACAACGGACAACACATGAATGGGGCACCCTGTCTCGAGCAGTTTCGGATGATCGGACAAGAAGTCGGTACGGTCGTTGCGGGTGGGGTTGAAACCATTGCGATTTAAGCTTCACTTCGGTTTGAAGGTTCGGTCACAACCTCTGAGCATCATCCCATATAATAAATCCTGCTCATGTTGGCAGCATACCACAGGTTGCGGTCGTGGCTGAGAGTAAGAAACACCACTCGGATAAGCTGAAAAGTCACTTTAGCTCTCCTTCCCCGACATAGGGACTTAGTGGTTCTGCCACAGTTCTATCATATTCTCCAAGGAACCTGTCTCGGGGCCTCAACCAATACTACGAAGCCAGACATGAACACTGAACTCTCGGATCGAGTCTAGGACCCGAAAAGAGAAGTGCACCGACTCCGCGACCAAAATGCCCCATCTGCCAGTCCGTGGCTGCGACAGGAACTTTCGAATCAGAAAGGCTCGCAAGCCATCACGACATGGGGCGGCTTAAGGCGTTTCGCTGGTTGGGGTTCAAAAAGCAGGTTCGGCAACAAGCCGAAGACCTTACACAATCGAGGTCAGACCGACAGATTTTGAGAGCAAACATATCAGCTGCACAGCTAGCTGCGCCAAGCTGCATCTTCCAAGGGGGGGCGACACATAAAGGCGGATCCAAGCTCTGATTGCCGGTCTGGTGGTTTCGAATCGTTCGAAGCTTGGCTTTATGTAGATTCAGAAATTGTCATTCAGATGTAGATACATGTCAAAATGTAAATATGCCACACTATGCAAATCGCTTCGGTGGTCTTTCGCGCTCGCACATGTCCAGGGGGTTTGGAGACTGGCCGTCTTCGAAACATCTGGATCCTTCTGTCTTTCTGAGCCACTGACTTCATGTTGAGGAGCATCCCCTCTCGGCGCCAACTGGCAGAATGGAAAGAGAAACGAGGCTGTCATCCCTTCGAACATCCTGCACTGCAATGCCGCTCAGCCTACAATCGGAACATCAGCGGCTTACTGAAACCCGGCTTGGCATGAATGAAGCGTAAAGGCTACCCCCGCCTCTTTTCAAGGTCTTCGTCATCGAACTCCAGCTTGTTGGCCTGATCGAGCAAGAATATTAGGGCTTTTTGGGTTTAGGGTAACATTCATTGATCGAAACCGACAAAGGCAGAGTCTGACTGCAAGCCAGTCACAGACCGTCCCTACCAGGACACGACTGGACATACTGGACAAAATCAAGAGGGGACTTGAGTGCCTCTATTTCGCTACTAAGAGCAACTGCTTAAAGCCGATGCCTAATAACGACAGTACGAACCGTCGTAAAGATGATAGACATTAACAACAATGAAAAAACAACAATTGCAGCAATAGTGATACTAGTAGTAATAGTTTCAAAACAATGGCAAAACTGCAATAGATGCAATAAGACTAGTAATACGAATAGTACTACTAGTAAGAATCATCGTAGTGATAGCCATAATGTTGATATTACAAATAATACTAGGGGTAAAAGAGCAGTAACAAGCAATAATAATAGCAACAATTATATTTGCAATAGAACTGCAGCTGTTGTTAATGGGAATAATGATACCAACAAAAAAACTTGAAATACCAGGTAGTAGTGAAAGGACGGTGCACACACACACACACACTTCTTCTTCTTCCTATACACACACACACTCTCTCTCTCTCTCTCACGCTGCCGAGACAGGGCCTACATGCTTAAGAAGAACAAACCCCGAAATCCATGAACCAAAGCTCGAAGACTTGAACCCTGAACCCCTCGAGCTCTAAACCCCAACACCCTAACTAACACTTAAGCTCTGATCCGTAATGCTACAATCATTTATTCTTGTACGTTGACTCTTACCGCCATTACTATCACTATGAGCATTAGTGTTGTCATTACTCTTGCTTCTAGTTCCACTACATCTACTACTTCCTATTGTTACATAAAACTACTGGTGTAAAAAAACCTATAGCACTTAGCACCCCCATCGCCTGCCTCGGGCCTGTCTGCATCGTCCACAGACATGAGGCGCTCCCTTAGCCGAAATGAATTCAGACTCTTTGCGGCCTGTGCCTTTCGTTTTGATAAACGCTCTCTGCCGATATAGGCCCTGTTCATGGAGGGCTTGGAGGTTAACTTAGGGTCAGTGATAAGTTAGGGCTTTCATCTTTCCAAACGAGGAGATCGAGTGAGTAATTGTCGACTGGCGTCTGCAAACCAAGTGGTGCAGTTTGAAGCCGATAGGGCAAAGGTTCAAAAATCCTGATATGCCGGATCTTTTCCATCAAAGCTCATCCTTCTTAACAGGAGCCGCCCCGGCTGATGGCAGCATACTGCCCAAGCTGATTGACCCGAACAACCTAATAGACCAAAGCTTGCCGCCCTAGAACCCTGAACCTGCTCAAGGTCTAAAACATGAACAACAAACCATGCCCATTGCGAACCTCTCGAATGCATGTGGGAAAGTGGGACACAAGTCGCGACTCGTCTACTCAATTCTACAACTTAGACAGGGAAGTCTGTCTGAAACTGCATCTAGGCCCAAAGGCCTTGTGAGCCTCCTCGACATGGAGAAGCGTGACAGCAGCATCCTCTTTGGCATTCGAGTTTGGGACATCGATAGTGTACAACGAAGCCCAAGAACAAGCTCTCAAGAGTCAAAGCAGACCTCCGAGGTCTCTCAATCCAGAGAGTGCCACGAGGTACAACGCACCTGAAAATTGAAGGCATGTCTCCCCCAACTACGTAAATGTAGAAGTTGAGCGCTTGGGGGGGGGGGGACCTTGAACCCCGAAGGACCAACCGTCCTCGGTGTGCTCTTGACGCGATCTGCCATGGCTGCGTAGGAGGGCCGAGAGCTGTAGCTCAAGGATGGAGCTCCGGGGTGCTGGGGCTCGGGCCTGCTCCGAAAAGGCCTCATCACTTAGGACTCAAGCGGTTTAGGGTTTAGGGTTTAGGGGGCTGAAAAATCTGGAGCTTGGCTCATGAATCCTTGATTCTTACGAGGGGCTTAGGCTTGTCGGCACATTTCCTTTGAGTGGGCAGGCATTCGGGCTTGTGGCCCAACAGGGTCCGGCAGGTTGTGGCCCAGCAGGTCCTGCGGCGCTTCTACTCCATGACCCTCTTCCACATCGTTGAGAAGAGTGAGGTTCCTGCGCTGCTCTGCTGCTTCTGGGCGTTGGCTGCATCTCTTGGCTTGGGTTTAGGGTTTAGGGTTCATGTATTCAATACTGCCCTTGAACAGTTCGGCATTCAACAGATGAGTTGTCGACCTCCTGGGCAGCCTGGGCACTTAGCTGGGATCCAAGACTGGGAGGGCTCGGGCGTGCACGAACGTGATTCTTGCAAGCTGTTTTGTGGGCAGGACAGCTTGTGTGGCCTTTTTTTGCACCGCGCTCGTCATCCGGAGAAATCACACGGGATGCAAAGAAGAGCGGCTCATGAGATGTTTGTGCGAGGCATTGCTTTCCACGGGGCTTGCGTTCTAATTACAGCCTATGGTTGCAACGTCTCATGTGTCGACAGGCCCTGCAAAACACTACATTCTAAAGTCTGTGGCAACTAATAGTGAGTGGGCAACAATGATGGTCAATTGTGACCTATCAAGTTCTCAACTACAATAACATGGAAAGGAACGGTTCCTTGCCGACTGGGCGTATTATGCAAACACGGTTGTGCTTGTTTGGACCGAACGTTGTGTTCTTCGATTTTTGTTACAGTGTCAGTGTCCACTTTTTGGCACATCTGCGCATACAGACGGAATGAGGCAGATGCAGCTATGCTTGCTTGCACACATGCTTCTGAGTAACTCTCCAGAACTCAAAAAAGATTAGCCAGCGCTATTTAACTGCTTCTGTTCTCCTGTTGAGGAGGTCCGGGAAATATCAAGACTTAGTTTTGGCCTCACAGTTTCGGGGAAATGATGCGATCTCATTGATCGCAGCGTCCCCAGTGCCACGCAGCACAGTTTCTATGAGGGTCACATGCAGGACATCAGCCTGCAACGAGACCGCCAGATCGTGAAGAACAGTGTGAGAAGGATTCCATCAAAAATTCAAACGCTGACTTCAGGACTGTCCCCGTCAAACACTGTGCAATCTCTAGAAGATCAGAAATCTATTATAGAAATCTAACTTGTCAGATGAGTACTTTTGAGGACCCCGAAGTAGGGTGCCTCCGACACTAGGGACAGCAGTCTGGGATGGGAACGCTGACGGGCCTAATCCTCAGTTTTGTACTTCCTGCCGGCGCAGCGACTGAGAATTGCGGTTGCGGGAGACTGAAGTGGAGTCTTAAAAGGTGCTGAGCTCATGGCTGCTGGCCCGAAATCTACGTCTTGCGGTTTGCTTCGGTCATAAGGAACAAGTTCGGAGTTTAAGGTGGCGGCTGCAACTCCACTCACTCATGGCTGGGGGAGCACCATACCCTTCCGAACTACGGGTGGTGATACTGTTAGAATCCTAGACCCTAAGCCCTTAAACCCTAAAACCCTAAACCCTAAACTCTCTCTCTCTCTCTCACAGGTGCTCGAAGCGTCAGACCTGTTGATCGGTAACCGAGTTTCACGGCAAACCCTAAAACCCTTTTCCACAGGCTTGAACTGAGCTCGCCCGGCCAGATCCCTCTGAACCCTAAACCCTAAGCCCCTAAACCCTCTCTCCTAAAACCTTTTTTTTCCACAGGCTTGAACTGAGCTCGCCCAACCAAAAACCCTAAACGCTAAACCCTAAGCCCTTCAACCCTGAAGTCAGATTCGCTCCCACTCCGCAGCTGGGG